AAGATATTAATTTCTTTGCTTTGGAAGAAAATCAGTACAGTCTTCCAGAGATAAACAATTTCTTGAATCTATGTCATCTTTTGGTGAGTACATACCTAAACTAAAGTTTCGACTTGACCACGAAAGTTTTGATATAAAAAGTATTGAACTTGGTTTAGTTGAACAAATAACTGTACAAAATTACTCTTTTCACCTTTTAAAAGATTTTTCAGCTTTTATAAAGCACCGCTTTATTGAATGTATAAAAAGGTCAAAACACATTTTTTACGTTCATTTTACAATATACAGTTTTTTGGGTACCTTTCAACGAGAAAGATTTTACCAATCCTACCAAATATGGGAATTTGATACCGTATCTGGTGGACACTTTCTTCAACCTTATGATATACTTGATCCACCCACAGACCATATCGAATTCTCTGATGATTTAAACAAAATCATCTCTAAATATACCAACCCAAACTCCTATCATTTCCAAACAGGAACAGACCTTATGTACAAAGCAAAATTCTTTCTCCATTTAGCCACCAAACAAGACTATCCCAAAATAGCCTGTTGGACAGATGGCAGACGCATTTTTGTTAAAAGATTTCTTGAACCACATGAAGATCTTGACATCGAAAATGCACCAGAAGCAATCGAGCTTTTGGATAAACTGTCTAAAATAGAAGACCTGGATCATCCCACCGATCTACTATACCAGTATCAAGAAGGATGGCAGATGTGGAACAAATCACATTCAAGATCTCCCTCATCTCTCCAGTCACTTAACGCACTGGATGAAGAATACCATAACCTAACCAATGCTATTAAAGGATAAAACTGTGCAAATTCTAATCCAGAATAAGCCAGAATAGACAGTCGACACAAAAGGATAAAACTTCATTCGGGGCCAATGACTAGCAGGCAGAAAATACTGTAGCAGTCATCAGTAGCAATCACTATAACAGAAGATAAAACGTCACTGTAGCAGTCACTGTAGCAGAAAAAGATAGAGACCTACTACGAAAGACATTGTAGCAAGTCACTGTAGCGATACTATAGATAAAAATTCTACTATACACTGTAGCGGATAACTGTACAGAGTTACTGTTCATAGGTTAGAATTTTTCTATTTAAAGCCTCATTATATCTAAACTGAAGGAGGCAAATTTTTCACACCCTCTATCTTTTACACTTTCTCTCTCTATCTACTTTTATCCTCCAAGCTTTCGTAATCTTTTATACATAGATCCTTTTCGCACCCCCTTGTAAATGGTATCAGAGCTCTAGGCTTGTATAAAAGTTTGCTAAAGCTTGTATTACTGATTCTGTAATAAAGATCTACTTGTTATTCATCTTGTAAGATTTTTTTTACTCTTACTTGCATCTTCTGCATAAGCTCTTTGTTTCAAAGCTCATACGTGCATATCTGAGTGGATAGCTGGCTTTTATGGCCTGAGTTACCTTTTGTTGCTAGCGTTTCAGAACAGCACAATGGTTTTAAGCACCAGAAACATGGAAACTTATGAAGAAAATTCTTGTATTTGTCAAGATAAGTCTTATAATCATGACTTGCATATAGATCCTAAGTATGAATTTAGTAATATTAGCATAAGTAGAACTGTAAATGGTTTAATAGATTTAACTTCTTCTTTCTTTCATAAACTTTTTGTAAAAATTGATAATATTGAAGATAAAGTAGATATGCTTGTAAAAAAGATGGACCAAAAGCATGTTCCCCTAAATACATCTAAAGATTTTGGACCTCTTTACTATGGCAATATTATGATGAATGATGACAAACCCTCATCTTCTACCTTTGCAAAGGTGAAACAAGAACAACTTGATTTCGACTCTTATAAATATATTATTGAAAATTTTAAATTAAAAATGGAGCAAAGTAATGATCCGCAATAACGGATTGATTACCTTAATGCTATTGAGACTCTTTATGAAGAACATAAAGACCTCTTTTTTAAATACAAATATCATTATATGCTCAACTATGACACAACCAGTGCCAGTAATGAAGAAGCAAATAGTGATATAGTAGATGATAATTTTGAAATTCTTGCTACTAACCCAGTAGTTAAAGATGAACCACCTTCATCTGATGAAACCACATCTGATGAAGAAAATAGTTCTGATGATCAAACAGATCCAGAACCAACAAAAATTTCAACCCTCAACTAGGGGCGCGTAGGAAACAGAAAGCCGAAGCAATATCTAATCCAGATATTGATGATCTTAGGTGATTTCCAGATTTAATAGATCCAGATATAATGGATCAACATCTTCTTCATCTTAAAGAAAAATATTTTCACCTAAACAAGGATGAAATTAAAGATGAGATTAAACAGACTTCTGATTCTGGCCAAACAAGTCAGGTTCAGACAAAATCCCTATAATCGATTTGTTAAACAAACGAACGGTTTCTCAAAGAGGTACATATTTAGACTAAACCAAAGTCTCTCTTCAAAACTATGGAAAAACCATAGACGATTGGGCACAATCTATGTCTATTGTAGTCATAAATTATAAGGAGACTTGGGGCAAAGAAAGATTCTTCAACTACTTTTATGGCACATGGAGGACATCACCTTGCCATGTGCCATAAAAGTAGTTAAGGAATCTTTCTTTGCCCGAAGTCTCCTTGTAATTTGTGACTACAATAGACATAGATTGTGTCCAATCGTCTATGGTTTTTCCATAGTTTTGAAGAGGGACTTTGGTTAAGTCTAAATATGTATCTCTTTGAGAAACCGTTCGTTTGTTTAACGAATCGATTATTGGGATTTCTGTCTGAACCTGACTTGTTTGGCTAGAATCAGAAGTCTGTTTAATCTCATCTTTAATTTCATCCTTGTTTAGGTGAAAATATTTTTCTTTAAGATGAGGAAGATGTTGATCCATTATATCTGGATCTATTAAATCTGGAAATCACCTAAGATTATCAATATCTGGATTAGATATTGCTTCGGTTTTCCATTTCCTACGCGTCTCTGGTTGAGGGGTTGGAATTTCTGTTGGTTCTGAATCTGTTTGATCATCAGAACTATCTTCTTCATCAGATGTGGTTTCATCAGATGAAGGTGGTTCATCTTTGACTACTGGGTTAGTAGCAAGAATTTTAAAATTATCATCTACTATATCACTATTTACTTTTTCACTACTGGCACTGGTTATGTCATAGTTGAGCATATAATGATATTTGTATTTAAAAAAGAGGTCTTTATGTTCTTCATAAAGAGTCTCAATAGCATTAAGGTAATCAATTCGTTGTTACAGATCATTACTTTGCTCCATTTTTAATTTAAAATTTTCAATAATATATTTATAAGAGTCGAAATCAAGTTGTTCTTGTTTCGCCTTTGCAGAGGTAGAAGATGAGGGTTTGTCATAAAGAACATAAAGACCTCTTTCTTAAAGAACATAAATGCTATTGAGACTCTTTATGAAGAACATAAAGACCTCTTTCTTAAATACAAATATCATTATATGCTCAACTATGACACAACCAGTGCCAGTAGTGAAGAAGCAAATAGTGATATAGTAAATGATAATTTTGAAATTCTTGCTACTAACCTAGTAGTTAAGGATGAACCACCTTCATCTGATGAAACCACATCTGATGAAGAAGATAGTTCTGATGATCAAATAGATCCAGAACCACCAGAAATTCCAACCCCTCAACCAGAGACGCCTAGAAAATGGAAAGCCGAAGCAATATCTAATCCAGATAATGATGATCTTAGGCGATTTCCAGATTTAATAGATCCAGATATAATGGATCAACATCTTCTTCATCTTAAAGAAAATATTTTCACCTAAACAAGAATGAAATTAAAGATAAGATTAAACAGACTTCTGATTCTGGCCAAACAAGTCAGGTTCACATAGAAATCCCTATAATCGATTCGTTAAACAAACGAATAGTTTCTCAATGAGGTACATATTTAGACTTAACCAAAGTCCCTCTTCAAAATTATGGAAAAACCATAGACGATTGGGCACAATCTATGCCTATTGTAGTCACAAATTACAAGGAGACTTGGGGCAAAGAAAGATTCCTTAACTACTTTTGTGGCACATGGCAAGGTGATGTCCTGCAATTCCTCAAAAAATGGGAGAAGACAACCCTCGGAGAATAGCAGAAATCCTCTTTGTTAGCTGTCGATAATATCCCTCAACTTTTAAACGATTTAACCTAAATCTTGAAAAATGAGTTTTACGGTAGTACAGAATCTCTAGATCCTACTCAAGAAGCTCAATTTATTTTATCAAAATTAAAATTATGTGATATTAAGTTTTTAGATGAATTTTCTAAAAATATCTCTCTGAATATCAAAAATTGAATGAAAAACATTCTAAATTTTGGTTACAACAATATTTTCTTAAACTTCCCTCACCATTGGATGAATTAACTTCTCAAAATTACCCTGTTTACCTTGAGTTAAAACTCAAAACCGTTCATGCTACAAATCTCAGTATAGAACTGTATGATACTCTTGGATGTAGAATTCACTACATTCAAAGTCAGGTAACAGAATACTGTTTAAAGCAAAAAGCTGCAAAACAGGTAAAATCCAAACTTTCGTATAAACAATGTACAAAGATTTTGGAAAATAAATTTGAATTTGGTTGTAATAAATAATCTTTTTCAAAGAAATCTCGTTTTAAGAAAAAACGAAAATATTTTTGGAAAAAATGGAAACCAACAATTTCTAAACCTAAAAAAGGTAAATTTGTTGTTAAAAAGAAGAAAAAATCTTCTAAAAATACTTGTAAATGTTTTCTTTGTGATCAAGAAGGTCACTATGCAAACGCTTGTCCTAACAAAGGAAAAAGTGGGAAGAAAATGATTAAAAAACTTGATGAAAGTTTTCTTCAAATTTGTTTTGCTGAAGAATTATCTGTCGAAGAAATTTATTATGAAGTTTTTTTCGAAACTGATTATAGTTCTTCTGACGATGAATCTCATTTTATTTTTATGCTGAATATTGAATCTAACACAGATAATGTTTCAGTTTCCTCTTCTACAGGTACAATAACTACCAATGAAGAAGGTATGGTTAAACTCAAAAATATTATGAGAAAAACTCATTTTATTTTTGATGATAAAATAAAAGAATTACAACTCATCAAACTAGATGAGATTTACAAGACAAGTTGGTTTAAAAGGTTCCAACCTTGGTCTAAACGCCATATAGAAAAACTATCTGGTGATACAGTTGCTACTGACACTAAACAAGGCTCAGTAGAAATTTCTCTCTTTACTAAACAGAAAATAAACAATTTTCTTTCTAAATACCCAAAGGTCAAATACATCCATATAGGAATGATTTTGATCACCATTAAACCACTATTTTTATCCATAAAGGATATTCCCATAATAGCTGTTTTAATGTACCATCGTTTTCAAAACCCTACAAATACTGTAATCGGAGGAATCCAATCCAATTTAGCAGCAGGAGTAGTTTTATTTAAAGTTAAACCAAACTATTTTATTTCTATTTTTTATGAAAACATTGAAAAATGTTTATGTCTTCGAATCAAAATACTCAATTCTGATTTCGAATCGACATCGTATGATCTTTCAATCAACTAGTCAACGGTTTATGAATTGACAAATACTACTAATACCTCTATCAAACCGATAGATTCTAATATTATTAAAATTTTTGAACCAAATGCTTTTGATTCAGAAATTAAACCTAGATTAATAAATCTCGTAGACTTATCAATCCCACAAGGATGGTGTCTCAAAGATCTTTCAATTATTTCTGAAAAACAGAAAGTTCCAAGTTTAGAATTTTTCTCATCAGGAAAAAATCTTTACTTTAAAAATCCAAATGAAACAACCAGTTTTAATCCAAACCTGGTTTTACCCCCAGTAAATGTTTTTGAACATCAAATAAATGATGATATTGAGAGTATAACTAGCAATCAATCTTTTTGTACTCCATATCGAAGTTCTTTTTCAGGATTTCATGGTACCAACAGTACAGAAAACCCTCAGACGAGCAAATAGTATGCGCCAATTAGGTACTACTGATAATGCTCAAATTCTTATTTTTATCGGAGATAATCCATCTCAGTAAGGTACAGTTGATAATCAAACCCATTATCATTCTGTTAATTCTGTGATTAATTCACACACACTTCTTCTTCTAGAAAACCTAGAAATGAAGATATTAAAATGTTTCATTCTATAAATAATTTTCGTATTCTCAAGAAATAATATCATTTGCCAACAAGGTACGATATTATACTTATATTGAAGGTTATTTTTATTTTCAAAACTAGAAACCCTATAGTTTGAATATTTTGATTGACACAGGAGCAACAATCTCTAGCTGACGACCTAATGCTTTGCCGTCAACCAAATGGCAACCCATGAAACATCCTATAATAATAGTAGGTATCGATGGTAAAGAAACCATTGTTAACCTAAAGGCAAAAAATATAGTTGTTGCCCTAAATGATATAAAATTCATTATACCTAAAATATTGTGTTTTCCTAATATGCATGGAGACATACAGTTAGGAAATAATTTTATACATAAATATTTACCCTTTTCAGTTTTTTCTGATTATCTTGTTTTTACTATTGATAAAAAATCAATAGATGTTCCTTTATTATCCAAGCACAATCATGTTTGTGATAATGGATTTCAACCAGAAATCACATATATTTCTGAACTTAAAGCTATTAATGAAAAACATTGGCTTTATAGAATTTTACAGGAAAACTTCAGTGAAGACCCATTGAAGCTTTGGAAGTGCAGTCCTAGATACTGTGAACTTACTCTTCAGTCTCCAAAAGAGATTATTCGAGTAAAACCAATGATCTATACCAAACAAGATATAGATGAATTTGAAGTTCAAATTTCAGAATTGCTCGACAAAGGTCTGATAGAACCAACTACCAGTCCACACTCCAGTCCAACATTCATGGTAAGAAACCATTCTGAGATAAAACGAGGTAAATCCCGTATGGTTATTAATTACAAGAAATTAAACCAAAATCTTGTTTTTGATGGCTATTTTATCCCTCGAAAAGATGTTTTAATTAATTTAGCAAAAAATGCTAAATATTTTTCTAAATTTGATTGTAAGTCAGGTTTTTGGCAAATCATGCTAAATGAAACCTCTAAACCCCTTGCTGCTTTTAGTGCACCAGCAGGCCATTACCAATGGACTGTTATGCTTTTCGGTCTATGCAATGCACCTCAAATCTTTTAGCGTTGGATGGACAGTATTTTCAGCAAACATAAACAATTTTGCTGTGTATATATTGATGATATTTTAATATTTTCTAATACTTTAGAATAGCATAGGAAACACCTGAATCTTATTGCTCAAGAATTTATTTTTCACGGTATTATTTTAAATCCCAAAAAGGTTGAACTTGAAAAAACCGAAATTGAATTTCTTGGTCTTAATCTTTCTGCAAACGGACTAACCCTGCAAGATCACATTATTTCCAAGATCAGAGACTTTCCAGAAGAACTGGAAAATGTCAAACAGCTACAACAGCTGTTAGGTATACTTAATTATGGCAGGCAATTTTTCAAAAATCTTTCCAAAAAGGAAAGCTATTTTTTGCATAAATTGCGTAAAGATAATGATTTTGTCTGGACACCTACCGATTCTGATATTGTCAAACAGATCAAATCAGATTTAACCACTATACCTAAGGTCTATTTACCTAAACAAGGTGACTTATTAATTTTAGAGACAGATGCCAGTGATGAACATTGGGGATGTGTCTTAAAAGCAAAAAATCTTCATCAAAAAGATGAATTGATTTGTGGATATAATTCTAGTAAGTTCAAACTGAACGAAATAAATTATATTATTTTTGAAAAAGAATTATTAGCCATAAAAAATGGTGTACAGCGATTTCACATCTATTTAGCCCCGGAGTTTTTTGTTATCCGAACAGATAACCAAGCAGTCAAAAACTTTCTCCAAAATAGATAGCTTTCTGATAATCCCAGGCGAATGGAGCCCCAAAAAATCTCTTCAAAATATCTACAATTAAGTGAGCTTTTAGAGACCTATTTCCTCTTTGCTTCTGCACTTGGTGGATGGCTATTTGGCTTCTTTGTTCTTCCTCAATTACAAACATTCCTCATGCATTTTTTCACTTCGAAAGAGTCCAAGTTATGACCAATGAAAGCTCTCCAATATGCCATGTCATCAGCTCTTGAAGTCTTCCTTTGAATACCAAAATGTGATGCCTAATTCTCATGCAAATGAAGGTTGCATTCCATGCCACTAGTGCACCATCTTTTCCTTGTTAAGCCTATTGCATGCATGTATGTTTTCATATTTTGCTACCAAAATTTCAAGTATTCCATGAGAAAATTTAACAATAAAATAATTAAAAAAATGCTAGAAATAATACTAAAAAAATTCATGAAAGAAAGGTTGAAGAAAACTCCTTTAAAAGCAATCTAACTTAATGACACTAGTTTTAGGTCATTTTCACAATTTGCACCAAAAATCCTCCAAAATGTATCTAAATTGATCAAAATTCCTTATTTTCTCTTTTTTTTACCTACTCATAAGACAATTGTGATTTAAGGAATATTTTTGCCAAGAAATGCCAAAGAACAAGCTAAAATAATAGCCAAATTGCACTAAAATTAAACACTAAGAAAATAAATTTTTTAATGCAATCATTAATAAGTAAAAGATTTAAAAAATAAATATATTTATTGAACAAGTTCAAATAGTCTTGACTATTTGAATAATTATTTATTTCAAATCATTGTGATAAAATAATTGTTTCAATTAATATAAGCTTATTTGAAATAAAATAATACTAATTTATTTTATTTCTATGAAAGTCTAGATGTTGATCCCATAAAGATTAGGTAGAACTTCTTAAGCTAAGTACCTTTTATCCCCATACCCTTCTAAAGTTGGTTCCATAAAAAAAATAAAAATTAACTACAAAAATAAAAGTGAATAAACCATAAAAAATATAAAGCTAAGTAAATGAAAAAAATGAACAAGAATAACAAGTATATGAATGATGTCAAATGAAAAAAAAATGCAACAACTAAACTAAATGAAATCATATTTAAAATGAAAATTAGGAACTAAAAGTCACAAAATTCAATTAATTAGCTTAAACCAAAACTAGAAGGAAAATTATGAAAACCGTAACTAAATGAACATTGCAAATTGAACAAACTTGTAGCTACTATTTTGCATTAAAATTTCACATGATAAATTTAAACAAGTTGAAAATTTTAATATGTTGTAGCTAATTGAATTAGGAAACTATAAAAAACAATTTGAACAAAAAAAGCAAGATTTGAATGAGATATCATAAAACAACTACAAGTAGGTCAAAACTAGTAAATTCAAAAATATATTTGAATATCAATGAAAAATCACTAGATTTAAGCTAGAAATCAATAAAATTTGCAAGTTTCATTGCCAAAATCATAAAGAACATGGAAAAAAACTTGAGGAAATTTAAAAGTTCAATCAAAATCAATAGAAAAACATGAAAATCAAGGGCTATTTGATTGCTAAGAAAATAAAATGCAGTAAAGGAAAGTGAAAAAATTAAAGAACAAGAAAAATAAAATCCTAAGCTAAAGTCTTTCTAAAATGGTTGGCTCCACTCCTATTTATAGGTAGGTGAGTGGTGAATGGAGCCCCAAAAAATATCTTGAAAAAATCTACAATTAAGTGAGCTTTTAGAGACCTATTTCCTCCTTGCTTCTGCACTTGGTGCATGGCTATTTGGCTTCTTTGTTCTTCCTCAATTGCAAACATTGCTCATGCATTTTTTCACTTCGAAAGAGTCCAAGTTATGACCAGTGAAAGCTCTCCAATATGCCATGTCATCATCTCTTGAAGTCTTCCTTTGAATACCAAAATGTGATGCCCAATTCTCATGCAAATGAAGGTTGCATTCCATGCCACTAGTGCACCATCTTTTCTTTGTTAAGCCTGTTGCATGCATGTATGTTTTCATATTTTGCTACAAAAAATTCAAGTATTCCATGAGAAAATTTAACAATAAAATAATTAAAAAATGCTAGAAATAATACTAAAAAAATTCATGGAAGAAAGGTTGAAGAAAATTCCCTTAAAAGCAATCTAACTTAATGACACTAGTTTTAGGCCATTTTCACAATTTGCACCAAAAATCCTCCAAAATGTATCTAAATTGACCAAAATTCCTTATTTTCTCCTTTTTTTACCTACTCATAAGACAATTGTGATTTAAGGAATATTTTTGCCAAGAAATGCCAAAGAACAAGCTAAAATAATAGCCAAATTGCATTAAAATTAAGCACTAAGAAAATAAATTTTTTAATGCAATCATTAATAAGTAAAAGATTTAAAAAATAAATATATTTATCGAACAAGTTCAAATAGTCTCGATTATTTGAATAATTATTTATTTCAAATCATTGTGATAAAATAATTGTTTCAATTAATATAAGCTTATTTGAAATAAAATAATACTAATTTATTAAATTCTAAAATTAATAAGTAAGAGAATTAAAAAAATGAATCTTTTTACTGAACCAGTTCAAATAGTTATGACTATCTTAACAACCATCTAATTCAAAATATTATGACCTTTTGTTTTGCCATAAAGCAATTGGTTCTATTCAAGTAAGCTTCTCTCAAATAAAATAAAAAAATTTATTAATATTTCAAAATTTAATAAGTAAAATTTTAAAAAATAAATCCATTTTCTAAACATGTTCAAATAGTTATGACTATCCAAATAATTATCTATTTCAAATCATTATCACTAGTTGTTTTATAAAAAAACCAACTGTTTCTGTTCATACAAGCTTATTCGAAATAAAATAATACTAATTTTTTAAAATTTCAAAAATTAATAAGTAAAAGATTTAAAAAATAAATCTGTTTATCGAATGAGTTTAAATAGTTATGACTATTTGAACAATTGTTTATTTCAAATCATTATGATCTTTTGTTTTGTCATAAAATAATTGTTTCTATTCATACAAGTTTATTCAGAATAAAATAATACTAATATATTAATATTTTAAAAATTAATAAGTCAGAGATTTAAAAAATAAATTGATTTATCGAAGAAGTTCAAATAATCATGTCCATTTAAACTATTATCTATTTCAAATTGTTATGGCATTTTGTTTTGTTGTAAAACAATTATTTCTGTTCATATAAAATTATTCAAAATAAAATAATATTAATTTAATACAATTTTAAAAATTAATAAGGATTTAAAAAATAATATGTTTGTTGAACCAGTTCAAATAGTTAAGACTATTAGAATAATTATCTATTTGAAATCATTCTGACCTTTTTGTTTAGTCATAACATAATTGTTTCAATTCATACATGCTTATTTGAATTATAACAATACTAATTTATTAACATTCATAAAACTAAGATGCAAGAAATTTTTAAAAAATAAATCTATTTATCAAATAAGTTCAAATAGTTATGACTATTTAAATAATTATCTATTTAAAATCATTACAACTTTTTTATTTTATCATAAAATAATTGTTTCAGTGCATAAAAACTTATTCGAAATAAAATAATTTTACTTTATTAATATTTCAAAAATTGATAAGTTAGAGATTTAAAAAATAAATCAATTTATCAAATTAGTTTAAATAATTATGGCCATTTAAATAATTATCTATTTCAAATCATTATAAACTTTTGTTTTGCCCTAAAAAAATTGTTTATCATCATACAAGCCCATTCAGAATAAAATAATACTAATTTACTAATATTTCAAAAATTAATAAGTAGAAGATTTAAAAAATAAATCTGTTTGTCGAACCAGTTCAAATAGTTATGACTATTTGAACAATTATATATTTGAAATTGTTATAACCTTTTGTTATGTCATAAAACAATTTTTTTTTCATACAAGTTTATTGGGAATAAAATAATACTAATGTAATAATATTTTGAAAATTAATAACTAAGAGATTTAAAAATAAATTTGTTAGTCAAATCAGTTCAAATAGTTAAGCTATATGAACAATTTTTTATTTCAAATCATTATGATCTTTTATTTTGTTGTAAAATAATTTTTTCAGTTTTAGTAACTTATTCAGAATAAAATAAAACAAATTTATTAATATTTCAAAATTAATAAGTAAGAGATTTAAAAAATAATTTTATTTCTTGAACAAGTTTAAATAATTATGACTATTTGAACAATTATCTATTTCAAATTGTTATGACCTCTTGTT